CCGGTTCAGTTAAGATTCTGCTGTTAAAAAATAAACCAAACAAAGCAACAACAAATTTTAATACACAAGAGTCATCACTAAGATAAATTACCCAGCTATAGACAGTGAAAGATCTTGTCAGTTTGTTAGTGTTTGAGCGCTTAACCAGCTGCTTGCATTGTATGCTTCCCGGGAAGCTGAGAATGTTTATGTGAGTTCTATGGTCTGCTGGGGTAATGATATAATGTAAAGCGCATAGAGCTGGCTTTCTAGTGGGGATAGGCGCTATACAAATGCTAGTTATTATTTATTATTAATATGATTACTTCTTTTTTAATGTTTGTCACACTCTTGTGAATTGCTATTTCTGGGGTGTCTTGAAAGTCGGAGCATACTTTGTGCTGTTGAGATTAGAGAGGTGAGCAGAGTAAGCCTAATTCCCCGTTTGGACTTCTCTGCTGACATCTGCCCCTTGGCACTCATATGACCTTATGCAGTTGTGAGCGCCGTAAAACCTTACTAAAACAAAACAAAACCAAAGTTGAGCCAAAGAGATACACACGTCATGTAATGCTCGAGCTTGCGGCAGTAACGTGAAGCTCATGTTGGTTTGAGCATTCGATCTGTCCGATCTTACACATTATGCATGCACGTGTGCGCGCTCAACCCCTGTGCAAGTGTGAACATAATGTCAGTGTGCACACAAGAAAAGATAAAGATCTAAATTAATGTAAATCGTCTGGCCCACGGCAGTCCAGACAAAGAATGACAAGTTTTGTTCATGTAAATCTTTTCACGCTTACCCGGATCCTGAAGCAGGAAAAAAGTCAGTCAATGAAAATCTGATATTTATTTCTCGAGACTTGGAAAAGTATTGTTGAAAATACGAAGTGTTGAAAAAAAGAACAATGGCTGAAAAGAAATAACAAGATCAATTTTAAAAAAAATAAAAAACATAATCGTGATATCAGTTTTGATTTATTTCAGTAGACGTTTCAGCACATAGGTTGTCGAAGACTCCAATCTTTATATTTTCCGTAAACAGGTGGCAGAAGATTTGCATAAATATCCCTGCTGACCTCAGCTATTATAGCTTGTTCACGTTCGTTGTACCGCGGTTAAAACAAGATAGAATCAAATCGTTTTTATAGTCATCTCGTATCTTTGCATACGAGTCTAAAAAAGTTGGATGACCAACAGAATCGTAAAGCCCTTCCACAAAGGACACTGCGACGTTTCCAACACGATTTATTTGATGTTAACCTATTGAGGGTCATAGAGAAGGAAAAACAATTAGTACTGGATCAAGATGTTTTAAAGATATAATTTTTGTTTGGTCACTGGCCAGCAGAAGTGTCATGCAAAGTTTCATGAGGGATGGGTAAATTGATAACAGAGCTAGATGGGGTTTTTTTTTAACGCGGATAGACGAAAGTGAACAAGCTGTAGTGGTTGTACCAGTTTGATCATTTCTTCTTCTTCTTCAGGAGTCAGGTCTGGAGCAGACTTTGACGATGGTGGTACCCTAATCCTTCCTGTCTGTCTCCCTCATCAGCTCGGGGTTTTTATTTCATAGTGTTATATGTTGCAATGTTGCTCAGGTCATCTGAATACTTAATATTTTCTGTCTGTCTTCCTCTGTTGTATCATCCTTCTATCTCTCCTCACAGAAGTCGTTTATCCAGTCCATTTTATCCACGTGTGTGGCCAGAGAATCTCGGTTTTTCTTTTTCATGGTTCTGATCTTAGACCTTTCACAACTTGCCATTTGGAGCTTTTCTCTATTTTTTTCTTTTCAAAAAAAGAAGTGTTGGAAGGAGCTGGAATTGAAAATATCCTATCAACACAACCATAAAAAGGGGAGAAGATGGAGATATTTTTAGAGCTGGCGAAGGGTCGATTCCGGAACCGATTCCCAGGATTAACGCTACAGAAGAAAAGTTCCGACTCCTTTTTACGTAAACCAACGGTTACAAGTTACTAAAATCTCTAAAAATCTTCTTTTCTTTTTAAAGTTGATGCTTCGTAGTGTTCCGAAATCAAGGTTATCCTAAACCCTGAAGATGTTCGGAGCCAAACAGGTAACGACCGGAAGAAATCACATCATTAGAAAGTAAGTAATTGGGTTCGGAGTCGATTCCCACGATTCCTAGCTTTCAATAATCGGGAACCTTGCCGCCCAGCTCTAATATTTAGGACATGTTCTAAGAATGCCGAAGACAAGATTGCCCTATTAGACATGGTATTCAAGACCATCTGGAAAAAGAAAACAAAGAAGACCAACTGGGAGCTATAGAGGCGCAATAAGGGATGAGACAATCACCCAGGGTCTGGATTTGCCGAAATTGGAGGACGTGGCCAGGGACAGACAAGTGTGGCGTCGACTGCTCTCCGCCTTATGTACCTGACGGTACAGGGAGAAAGTTTCTGTCTGTATTCTGAGTTTCTGAATCCTTGTTTAGAGTCCAACTCTCACACCTAAATCAAAGGACTGACCACACCTACGCTTTCAGGGCACTTATTTTTGTGTTCACTATCATGTTTCTGTTTGAGATTACGGATTTCATCTTTTCTGTCTGAAATAACGCGTTTCATCTTGTTGAAAGGTCTTTAGACCCTTCAATCCTCTGATTTTATCTCTACATCACACTATATAGCCTACATCTGGTGAAATTGTGAAACAAATGTATCTAAATCTAAAGATGTTGAAATGTTTTATTCTTCAGTTCTTACATTTGATGTTGCATACTGGGACGTCAGCACTTAGATCACGTTAAAAAAATAAATAACAGAAGCAGCATCAGCCACATAAACTACAGCAACATTTCCACCAGCAGTAATATTCTCAGCAGCTGCTTGGTGAAACGAAATCTGTTCGATTTTCCCCCCTTGTTTCTATAGCTGTTCAAAAGAAAAGACTATTTCCTTTAGCTGTTCATTAGGTCTATTTACACAGGAATAGAGGAGGCTTTTAGTCGCGGTATTGTTTCTGTGCGGTTCAACTTTCGTTGCCCTGATCAGTGATAAAGAACACCATACGTAGACCGAATGACTTTTACCCCAGTTCAATAATTTATGTATATTTGTAATTATTATTTCTCACACATTATTAGGCTTCACTTGGTCTCTGTGTAATTGGAGACTTTGTGGATAGCGGACGATTTATCCGCCCGCGGATTTTTGGACTGCAGCAAGGAGCATTATTTTCTCCCCTCTCGTTGCTAATAGTCTAGATAGTTGGGAGTTTGTGTGTGTGGCTTTTTGGCGAGGAACTGGACTTGACTGGAGACTACGAGGTGACTGTTGCTGTTGGTTTTTGCTGAAGCTTTTTTGCTGTTGTGGTAACTTATTGTTGCTGTTGTTGTGACTTATTGCTGCTGTTGTTGTTGCTGTTGCTGTTGCTGATGCTGATGCTGATGCTGATGCTGCTGTAGTTGCTGCTGCTGCAGTCATTGCTGTTACAATTTTATTGCTGTTGCTTTTTAATTTAATTTCTTTTTCTGCTGCTTCTTCAATTATTTTTGTGTTACTCTTTTATGTTTGTTTGTTTTTAATTGTAGGGGTTTGGTAGGGTGTTTTTTTTCTTTTTTGTTGGTTTTGTTTTTGCTGTTGTTGTTGTTGTTGTTGTTGTTGTTGTTGTTGCTGCTGCTGCTGTTGTTGTTGTTGTTGTTTCTGCTGCTGCGGACGTCGGTCTCCGCGATGTATTCAGTTGCTACATTAGCGATGGAAAGTTGTGCTTTGGTTCTGTTCAGTAGTGATCCTCTTTCTTCTTCTTGAGGCTAACGTAACCTTGAGACCTCCATTCCGAACTTACCTGACTGACGCCCCACGTACGTCCAGGGTCCCCGGGGTATGCGGGGCCACTCACTTCCGGTCCCTATGACGGCGTGCGGGAAAGAAGACACTTTAGATTTATTTATGCGAGGCGTCTTTGAGAAATCCGGGGCTCGTCAAAATTATGAAATCAAAGAAATAGAGGCGTTTTCTTTTAAATGTGAGGCAGCGTAGTGGAATCAGGCTCTCGTCAATTTTTGGGCCTGTAGAGTTATTGGTATCATCCTAAAGCTTGTTCACTTGTCTTTATTTGGGTGAAAAAAATATCCATTTATCTTGAATACAAGTCGAGATATTTTCGAAAGAAGGAGGTGGGGGCACTTGTTTTCAGAGTTAAAATTAGTGAGAAAATGGCCACCAAAGATTAGTTATTTCCTTAGCATAAGAGTCCGTGGTAACTGAAAATTTCTATTTTTTTGTGCCTTTACTCAACGTTTTTCAGAAAAATCCACACAGAAATTAGTTCTTTAATGGGCAAGAAAGGTGTTGAGCCAAAAAACAAAAATTTGAAAAAAATTCACAAACCTCCGAAAAAATGCAAGTTTCTTCACTTTGATTATTTTGACGAAAGCCTGATTTCACCACGCTGCCTCACAAATTTCTTTTTGCCGAAGGGCAATTTTGTTCTAATCTGTTCTCTTTGTTTTGTTTTCTGTTGGGGGTTTTT